CCCCCCCTCCTAGCACCGCCACTGCCTGCCTTGAGCGCAGCCCAGCCCCCCGCCAGCAAGAGCCTGGTGCCATCCCAGACCCAGGCCACAGTGGCAGCCTGGCCTCACCCCATGTGCACAAGGTGAGGCCAGCCTGCGCACACCCTCACCCTGAGCACATGGGCCACACATTCCCCATGACCTCCCAGGTTGCACGCAGCAACAGGAGCTGCCTTCCCCCGCCCCCCCCCACACAAACAACTCATTGCTCCATCCTGTGCCCCATCCCGGTTGCGCAGCACCTGCCCCAGCCCCACTCCTTCCCTCACCGTGGGGGCTTCAATCTGCCCCCCGCCACACCCCTTTCCTCACAACAGACTTAGCAGGTGGACCCGGCTGCTCTCCACACTGCCAGGCTGCACTCCTGGCCATGTTGTACTGTGGCTGTCCGTGTGCACAGGGCATTTATTGGTGGCATTAATTGGCCACATCAGCCAAAAAAAGACAATAATGTTAATTTTCCTCATATTGGTGCCACTCTGATACGGGACTGATGCATCCATGCACCTCTAGTGCTAAACGTTTTCTTAAGGGTTTTTGCTTTTTGAAAGGTTCTACCACATTATGCAAATTGAGTCTTTTTGAGCCAAACTGAGCTTAAACCAGACCTGAACATTACCTCCTCTTTGAGCTACTGCAGTGGGGCTAGATCCAGTGTAATTCAGACCTAAGCCATCTTTTATTTGTGACAATTTTGCTAGCAACTTTTTTATAAAACAGATTCCTGTGGCTGAGCTGTAATTCTATTTCACTCTGTAACCAGCTCATTCATACCTGTATTAAAATTCTACCTACAATGAAAAGGAACTGAAGGAAGAATAAGACCACAAAGCAGAAACTTAAAGCAAAATCTCCCCCATCACACTTCCCAAAATATATCTGTGAAAGGATAAAGCTAATGCTGTAAGATCAACTCAAACCTACTAACAGCAGTGGAAAAAACTCATTCACCTCAAAAGGCTTGGGATTCCCATCTCACTGTCAAAGAAAGATTTCCTCAAAACAGTACAAGTTACTTCCTGCTCTTTAACACTGAGCCCTGGCTTGCTGCCTCTACATGCAACTCCCACTGAAGTCAACTTAAGTCACACACACACAGCAGCAAGCCAGCAGCTACTGAGCCCGTGATATGACAAGGGGAATCCAGTGTGGGTAAATTAGCTGCACCACTCCAATTGCGGTATAAGAGGAGCTGTATAGATGGTTTTGAATCCCACCTTCACTCACCTTTCTCTTGTCCATTGCTGCTTGTGATAAGCCCATTAATGACTGTTTTCACAACACCAACTTCTTCATGTTCTGAAAGGCAAATGGGTAGAAAGATCACCCTGAGGAGAGAGGAACTGGCCTGACTGCCCACAGCCCCAAACACCTAATGTTGTTTGGGATTTCAGACAAGGAATTTATTAAACTTACATAGTAACTGCAATAAATGGGACTATGTAACCTATGATCAAAGATGTGGGGTGGAAAATTTTCCTGTACTTTATTTTCTGTGGGAAATTTTCCATTTCTAAAAATTCATTGTTTCATAAAATTCATTAGTAACAATGAATGGATGCCAAAACAATATTTGGCAAGCATGGCAATTTCAAAGTTGTAATTAATGTTTTTCAGGTGATTATCCCTAGGAAGCGTGTAAGAGAGTGCGTATTTGTTTTACTGATTTGTAAACAGGAGGGTAAATACACTCACACAATAATCCAAACCAAAAATCAAGTTCTGAATTTACCTAATTGGCTGTGCATGTCAAATCAAAGCCAAAGCTAAAATTCTTGTTTCATCTCAGACTGCAAGTGAAAGCAGAGTCAGAACTAAAACTCTGATTAATTTCAGTTCAGCAAACACACAGAGCAGCATCTCATTTCTTTTCTTGAGGTGGGGAAGTTGGAAGTGTTTGCATAAGATCTGTTAGTTTTTTAGTGCTTTTGGTTTGAACTAGTCATCATAATGCCTAATCAGAAAAAAAATTAGTGTGTGGCATCACTATAGTGAAGTTCAAGCAACTGAAGGAAGGAAGAAAGTTGGTAGATAGAAATATTGTGGGCAGGAGTATGCTAACAACAGAACAAGAATGAAGAAACATTTAACAACATGTAGAAACTATACTGAAAGAGTACAAGCCATATACAGAAAACTAATACAACCAAGTGGTGGAACAACATCCTCTGAAAAAAGTCTACTTCAGGAATCCTATGTAAGTAAACAAATGAATATGTTAAACAACACACACTATAGACTGGCATCTATATTGTTTTAAAATATTATAATTTTAAAAGTTGTTAATAGAACTCTGAACTATTATTTACTTATTTATTTAAAATGTTTGTATCCTGCCTTTCTGCTTGCCCTAAGACCTTGAAGTGTTTTAGCCTTAGCAATAATTTCTTAAAAAATTACATATCACATTCTCTCTTAGATAGAGAGTATGACAGAGTTCAAACAATGGTTATTCAAAGGATTGGTCAAGCAGAATCACTGACTCTGATGTCAGATGGATGGACTGATACACAAGGAAATCCTTTATTGAACATTATGTTAGCAACATATTGTTGAAAGAAATTGCTGCTAAATCTTCTCGTCTTACAGGTGAATGCATAGCCAAATTACTGAGTGAAGAGATTGAAAGTGCAGTTCCCTCCAGGGCACAGGCCCTCGTAACTGATAATGCAAGTAACATGAAAACTACATGGCAAATATTAAAGACAAACTATCCTCATTTAATAGGATTTGGCTGTCTTGTTCATAGGTTGAATTTTCTGTCAAAGGATACAGTAAGTGTGAATACAATGAAGACAATATTGGCAAACTGCAAAGCAATTGTGAAGGAATTGAACAATCATCATGTTGCTAATCAGACTTTGAAGAAATTACAGAGAGAAGCAGGGGAAGAAAAGTGCCCTTTTATTGCCAGGAGAAACTAGATGGGGTTTGGCTGCAAGTGTTTACATAGTTTGCTGTGCACAAAGAACTGTTTGCAGTGTGCTTCAATAGATGACGCAGTATCCCAGATTATTCCCGTGAACACTCAGAAGCAGATTCTTGACAACAATGTGTTCTGGATTCAAGTTCAAGGAGCATTCAATTTTCTACTACCAGTTTCAGTGGCTATCAAGAAACCTGAAGGAGATACAGCAAGCTTTTCAAATATTCCAGAGATATTCCGAAAAACAAATGAAAATCTAATTGAGCTTTTGCCTTCTTCACCTCTATCCAAAAAAAAAAAGTAGTAGTATCAAGCTGGATGTCAAGGAATCGAGATAGATATCATGTACTTGGATTTTAAGAAGGCCTTCAATACAGTATTTCATCCTATTCTCATAGATAAACTAAGTGGCTACGACGTAGATGATTATACAGTCAGGTGGGTGGCAAATTGGCTTAGGGGTCACACTCAGAAAGAAGTGGTGGATGGGTCGGTATCAACCTGGAAGAATGTGGACAGTGGAGTCCCACAAGGCTGTCTTTGAACCTGTGCTCGTCAATGTCTTCATCAGTGACTTGGATGAGGGCAAGGAGACCACTCTGTCCAAATTCTTGGATGATACCTAGTAGTAAAGTTAACATACCAGAGGGGAGGGAATGAATCTAGGGAGATCTGGGCAGGTTGGAAAAGTGGGCAGAAGAGAATAGGATGCAGCTCAACAAGGACAAGTGCAAGGTGCTGCACCTAGGAAGATGGAATCACCAACACACTTACAGGCTGGGGGAGGATCTGCTCAGCAGCACAGCAGTGGAAAGTGATCTTGGAGTCATTGCTGACACCAAGATAAACATGAGTTGCCAATGTGATAAAGCAATCAGTAAAGCTAACTGCACTTTATCATGCATTAGCAGGTGCATGACAAACAGGTCCAGGGAGGTGATACAGGTCAGGCCGCAGCTGGAGTACTGCATCCTGTTTTGGACACCGCACTTCAAGAGGGATGTAGACAACCTTGAGAAGGTTCAGAGGAGGGCCACTCATATGGTTATGGGCCTGCAGGCAAAGCCCTAAGAGGAGAGATTGAGGGCCCTGGATCCCTTTAGCTTCTGCAAGAAAAGGCTGAGAGACAGTCTTGTGACCACCTACAAATTCATCGGGGGGAAGAGGGGACATGTTCTGTTTACCAGGGCACTCCTTGGAGTAACTAGGAACAATGGCGACAAACTGATGGACAGCACATTTAGGTTAGACATAAGGAAGAACTTTATGGTAAGGATTGCCAGAATCTGGAATGGGCTTCCAAGGGAAGTGGTGCTCTCCCCTACCCTGGGGGTCTTTAAGAGGAAGCTAGAAGAAGCTAGACATGCACCTGGCTGGGGTCATCTAACCTCAGAGCTCTTTCCTGCCCAGGGCAGGGGCTCAGACTCCATGATCTACTGAGGTCCCTTCTGACCCAAACAACTATGAATCTACCGTGGGCTCTTCTGAGGCCTCCACCCAGAGCTCATGGTGGAGTTGGTGGCCCCTTGCCCCCCTGTCTGCGGAAGGGGCTTGGCGGG